TATGCCTATCTCCTCTCACCAAGTTAATAATAGTTCTGAATTCTACATTATTTGTAATTTGACTTTTCTTTATGTAAGTAATTTCTTCTGTATATATTCATCAAATAATATTTTTAGCTTATTTGTTTAAAAATTTATAAAAAGGAAATCATATGAATCGGATCTGATTTATTAATGTTTTCTTTTGTACTTTATGTTATATGTGTCCTCCTTTTTTTTTTTTTTTTTTTTTTTTTTTTTTTNACTCATTTACCCAGGCTAGAGTGCAGTGGTGCGATCTTGGCTCACTGCAACCTCTGCCTCCCGGGTTCAAGTGATTCTCCTGCCTCAGCCTCCCAAGTAGCTGAGATTACAGGTGTCTGTTACCACACATGACCAATTTTTGTATTTTTAGTAGATATGGGAGTTCACCATGTTGGCCAGGCTGGTCTCAAACTCCTGACCTTGTGATCCACCTACATCAGCCTACCAAAGTGCTGAGATTACAGGCATGAGCCACTGCACTCAGTCTTATATGTGTCCTCTATAAGAAATCTTTCCTTGCAGCTGTGAACATGAAGTTATTTTCTGTGCTATTGTCTAAAAGCTTTATTCTTTTATCTTTCATATTTCAATTCATAATTTATTTAGAATTAACATTTATATTAATGTAGAGGTAAAATGTAGAGGTTAAGATTCATTTGTTGTAGTATGGATAATGAATTGATCCAATACAATTTATTTATTATTTATTTATTTTTTACTGGGTTACTGCTATGGTTTGAATGTCTATGTCCCCTCCAAAATGAACATCAAAACTTAAATCCTAATGCAACAATAGTGGTAGGTAGAGTCTTCGAGAGAGAATTAGGTCATGAGGGTGCCATTCTTCTCAAAATATCATTTTATTTCTCCTGAAATAAAAATGGCTTCACACAGCATTTTTCCCTTTTTTTCCTTCTGTCTCCATGATATGAGGATGCAGCGACAAGACATGCTCTTGGAAGAAGGAGCAGCTCTACCAGACGCCAAAATTTCCAGTGCCTTGATCTTGAACTTTCCAGCCTCCAGAACCATGAGCAAATAATTTTCTCGTTTTTATAAATTACTCAGTCTAAGTTTGTTTTGTTTTGTTTTCAGCATAGAGGTACTAAAAGAATTACTGTAGCTTGAGTTGGGTGCCGTGGCTCACACCTGTAATCCTAGCACTTTGGGATGCCGAGGTGGGTGGATCACCTGAGGTCAGGAGTTCAAGAGCAGCCTGGCCAACATGGTGAAACTCCATCTCTACTAAAAATACAAAAAATTAGCCAGGCGTGGTGGATGACGCCTATAATCGCAGCTACTAGGGAGCCTGAGGCAGGAGAATTACTTCAACCTGGGAGGCAGAGGTTGTAGTGAGCTGAGATCGTGACACTGTACTCCAGCCTATGCAACAAGAGCGAAATTCAAAAAAAAAGAAAAACAAAAACAAAAATAACAAAGAATAAGAGAATTACTGTAGCCCTTTTTGTTTCTAATTGGGTATTGGATGATTGCATATGTGTGGATTTGATTTTAGACTTTTTATCAGGACAAATGGAAGCTAGAAAGTGGAATGACATATTT